AAAATTGTTGTAACCTTGTTTTGTGACTGAAACAATAATCTAATTTATGAAAATTAGCTTTTTATTATATTATTGTTTCAGTTACAAAATTTAAAGTAACTAACAGCTTCAGTCACAAAGTTTCAAAGTAACTAACATGTTTCTAACTACCGTTATAACAGCAACTAGAACCTTGTCATAATGAGAATATGATTATTTCACTATGACAAGGTTCTAACTGCGTTTTGAAGGTATTCATTTTTCTATAAAGAGTGAAACATTTTTTAATAAAAATAGTAATACTTATAGCAAATGCTTATGTTACCATGAGTAAAGTATATTATCGATGAATTTTAATAAATTTTGATGAGAGGAACATAACAATTTTTAACATTGATATGCTCAAAACTACTCGCGGATCAGTTAGAACCTTGTCAAACCAACTTTAAATACATGCGCTCTTCACAAATGCATTAATTCAAAGCTGCCCCCCTTCTCCCCTATATATATATATATATATATATATATATATATATATATATATATATATATATATATATATATATATATATATATATATATATATATATATAGATTTCATTGAAAATCTATGACAAAAACAGAAATTAAAATTATTAATTTAAATGAATAAAAAATAAAAAAATTTGAAAAAAGTTTTTCGAATGAATAATGTAAATGAATTTATCATTAGACAGTTAATGCTAAATTCTATTTAAAAAGTTTTTAATTTAAAAAATGGAATGTCAAAATTTAATAAACTTTACTTAGAAAACTGCTTTTTTATTTTCTGTAAAATATCATTTTGAAATTGTCATTCGAGTTATCTTTTGAAAAGCACTTGTCACAATTTATTAAAAAATTGTACATCAATAATCAATTTTTTTTTAAATCTATGTAAATTTTGTGTAATGTAAACTAATAATTAATTTATTAAAATATATATGATAACTTACTACTTGCAATATCTTCTGGTAAAAAATATGATTCTTCTTCTAAAAAAGATAAAACTTGAGAACCATTTTTCAGAAATTATAAATTATCCACATAATAAATTTATGAATTTAATTCTAAAATTTAATCTTGCAGTATCTTCTGGTAAAAAATATGATTCTTCTTCTAAAAAAGATAAAACTTGAGAACCATTTTTCAGAAATTATAAATTATCCACATAATAAATTTATGAATTTAATCTTAAAATTTAATCTTGCAGTATCTTCTGGTAAAAAATATTAATAAATTTAAATAAAATTTTAAAATTGATGTTTTTTTTTTAAACTACTAATAATATCAACTATTGATTTTTTTATAATGTTAATTCACCTCCACAAAGTCAAATAGTCCACAGTCAAGGAAGCTAGTATATTTGTGGGTACAACCCTGTTTCAACTCTTAAAATCCAAAACACAAACACAAAACAAACAAGTTTGCTCCGTGAAGAAACAAGTTGAGCATTTTTAGATATGAGAAGTTTATAAATATTAAGAATTTGTACAATATGTTTTTTAATTTTTTCATGGACAACAAACAAAGAAAGTTAAAAAAAACATTGTGCAAATTTTTAAAAACCTTTTGTTTTTCATACTTTCACTTCCAACAAGGAAGCAACTGCATTAAAATTTATAAAGCAAGATAAAGATTAACAGAAAACTTATAAGATTTGAAATTGTGCGAATCAGGAAAACAGGATGAAGAAAGTAAATTCCAAAGCACTGATGTTCAAGGAAAAAAACTAGACAAACAAGAATTTTTGGAGCACTTAGGAACAGTCACAGTAAAAAGATGAGACTTAATTAAATGATAAGTAATGCAAGAATGAATTTTAGTAGTTGGTACAAGAGACAATACTCTTTGAAGCAGTGCCCATTATGTAATTATAGAAAAGAGAAAGAGAAGCAACATTATGAAAATGTGATATAGGTTGGAGGTTGGCGCTGCAAAAGCGTGCCCTTTTTTCTTCCAAATATTTCAGTTGATTATGGAAATATATTTTGCTAACATATTTACGTTAATAATGTCTCTTCAATCAGACGCAGCCATATTAGTTATAATAAGTATAAAAAATGTAATCAGCAATGTTAGTTTACCAAAGTAGATGAAATATATATGTATAAATACATATATATGCATATAAATATATAATTTTTACTGCACATATATATATATATATATATATATATATATATATATATATATATATATATATATATATATATACATACATATACTGAAATATAAAACAAATAAATTTAATTCTGATAAAAGTTAAATGTAATGTTGTGCAAACATGAAGTTTAACGTTGAATCATCTTAAATACAATGTTTTGACAACATAAAATACAGCGCTGTGCCAAATTAAAATATATCTTTAAATCAAGGTAAAATATTATGCAATGCTTATAATACAATGTTGACTTATAATACAATGTTGGGACAACTTGTTTTTTTGTTGTTTGCAAAGTTGCATTTGTAACCAAAATGATACTAAAATAACATTGGCGCTCCATGTTAGGCCAACGCAACAAACAACATTATTCTAACGTTTTATCAACGTATATGTGTTAGCTGGGTCTTTACCTTTAATAAAATTAACTTTTTCCAATCGTTCCAAAAAACTTATTTTCAAGTGATATACATATATATATATATATAACATTCAAATAAAAAGTAATGTCCACAAGCTTTCTAAGTATTATTATAAAAATCTATAGTGGAAGGTACTACTAAAGTAAATTGAAGCCACTATAATGTCAACCGAAGCATATTGCACATTTTATAAACTTCGAAAATAGTTTTAGTATCTTTTTCGACATGAATATTGTTTATATTAAATGTTTTTAGCATTACTTGTTTAAATGTGAAATACGCTTATATCCAGTTTCCTTTTTTGATTTTAATCTCTTTAAAAAAAAGAAAAGTATTTTTAATTAAATGAAAAATTCATTAAACAACCAAATTTTCCCAACAAACTTTGAATTTCACATTTTCTTTCATGGAGCTTTTTAATGGTTAATTATTTGTTCAAAAGTAAACTAAAAATAGTAACTTCTTCATTTGAAAATAAACTTATATACTTTTAATTTATATCCAGTTTCGTCATGCCCAAAATATTTTATTTGTATACAATGTAAGTTTGAAAAGTGAGAAACTATATTTAATTACAATTATTTGAATTTTGTTAAAAGTTGCACTGCCATTTACTATTTATATGTTATTATATTATTGTTTTTTTTATTGATACTGTTTTATTTTTTAGCCATAACGAATGTAAAGATCAGGTGGTCTTCTGAGAGAGTCTGCATTTCACTTTATTAATATTAGTAGAACTTTATAGTTTACTAGATTTATTTTAATTTTTACTTTTTATATTAAATTTAATTTTGCAATGTATAGATTAAATGAAATTTTGTAAGACCAGGTAGCCTTCTGTCCACTTTTTTTTATTTATTAATACAGTAGACTTTTATTTTAATGATTAATATGATACATAATTTTATTATGTTTAAATTTATATAATTTTAACATTAAATTTAATTTGGTAACAAAGTTAAATATCAAATATTAAAAAAAAAAATCATTATAAAAAATAAATTATAAAACAAGATGTATGTTTATCTTCAAACTAACATATGTATGATACCTTATATATGTATATATATATATATATATATATATATATATATATATATATATATATATATATATATATATATATATATATAAATACATGTATATATATATATATATATATATATATATATATACATATATATATATATATATATATATATATATATATATATATATATATATATATATATATATATATATATATATATATATATATATATATTTATATATATATATATTTATATATATTTATATATATATATATATATATATATTTATATATATATATATATATATATATATATATATACAGTATACAGTACACCATCCAGGTTTTTGAGAAAACCCCGGAATATCCCTCCTATAAACTTCCGAAATACCCAGATTATGTAAACAGTAGTCGAATATAAATCCAGATTTGGCAATACTTTGCAAAAAAAACACAGAAACCTAGACAGGGGTAAAAAAACCTAGATCTAGCGAAAAAAAACCAGATCTAGTAAAAAAAACTCAGATGTGGCAACACTGTATATATATATATATATATCTAAGATGATTGACAACAATGGTGAAACAATGCGCTCATAAATCAGTAAAAACCTTTTTATTGTTATATTCTTATTTTGAATGAATCATTTGTAAATTAAATATGTTATTTATTTCTTATTATATAAATACATTATTTCTTACCAAAAAAAAAAATTAATTTATAAAATTGAAATTATAAAACATTTTTTAAATTGACTTTTTGAGATAACCCAATTGGTTTGCAGGTTATTATACAAAAAAATTATATAAAAATGTATCTTAAAATGAGATAAAATGTGTAATCATTTAATTTAAACGATGTAAAATATAACTTAACTATAAACAATCTCTTGTTAAAAATAAATAAATAAATAAACAATTAAGAATTCATTAAGTGATAGGTCATATCAATGAATAATCTTTGTCTTTTTTAAAAACTCACCTACACAGCTTGCATTATCTTCCCCTAAAAGCCATCCATGTTTGCATAAACATAAATAACTTCCAATTGTATTTTCACATAAGCTGTTATTCCAAGAACATGTATTTGAGCTATTGCACTCATTGTAATCTTTAAAAAATAATCAATGCTATATTATAGTTATGTTTATATACAATTGTATAAATATTGAAAAGTATTTTTTTAAACATTATATAGAATAATTAGCATTTTAATGACTTCAATAAATAATATTTAAACATATCAGCACTTAAAATAACATTAAGTCAACAATCAATGGACAGTTAATTTTTAAAAAAATTATACTTTTATAACTCAAAATCAATTCTGGCCAAATTAAAATCTTTAATAATAAATAGAATTAAAATAATAAATAGAACTGTGAAATGGCAATTAGTTTAGCAATTGGTACCATGTTGTATGCTTATGACGGATATTAGGCTTGTACCTGATGCAATCTAAATATATACTTCCAGTTATGGAAGTATATATTTAGATATTAAAATTGACCTAGCTCTTTCTCTTTATCCTTCTGCCAATTGTGTTGTTGTTAATGACTACAATGCTTATCAAACTGAATGGCTTGGCTCTAGTGTCAGTGGCTCCCCAGACGTTAAGACCCATAACTTTTGTCTTCCTCAAGCTCTTACATAAATAGTTAACTTTTAAAATCGCTTTCAAGACAATCCAAATTGTTTTCCTCCTCTACTTGACTTACGTCGTTTTTTTGATCCTTGTAGGAGCTCAGTTTCTCAAAGTTCACCTTTAAGAGCTTCTGAACATGGTTTGATTCTCTACAACTATTACCTCATTTGTCTTCATCATCAGATTACCCCTATCATCATACCTCTTACAACTACTTTAAAGACTGACTGGGTCTCATTCCGTGAATTTAATTGTGACGGCCCTAGGGTAGATATTTTTCTCCTTCCTAATGACAAATAAACTTTTTTTGTAACTTCTTTGAATTAGGCTTGAATGGAATCCTTTATTCCATCTTGATGATTTCAAGTCAAGCCTTACTCTTCTCTGTTTTTCTGTTTTCTCCATAGTTTTTCCTCTCATTGAGCTGCTGCAAGTTCAGATTGTTACCATTACTTTCATACATGTCAGCAAAACAATTTTTCAGAAAACAAAGATCTGTTTACTACTGCTAAAAACCATTATAAAAAGGTTTTGTCTAATGCCAAAGCCAGTTATTCTCAGGTCATGAAATCTTGCATTTCATCACAAAAATTACGCTCTTGTTATTTCTGGAGAATCTTAAATAATGTCAAAAATCTGTTTTTCCACCTCTCTTGTACGGTTTAGACTTTGTCACCTCACCTAAAGACAAAGCTAAGAACTTTTCATCAATATCATCTCTTGATTTCAATAGTTGTGTTCTGAATGCTTGCCATTTGCATCGCTTCAGCTTCAGTATTTAAGGTGATAAAGGTGAATTCCTGCTTCAATTCTTCTACAGCTTGTGGTTTGCACAACATACCTGTTATAGTCTTGTAGAAATGTTATCCAGAACTGATCATCAATATGGATTTCATTCTTCTCGTTCCACGGCTGATTTGCTAACAGTAATAACTGATGGGTTTTATTGTGCATTAGATAAAGGTGAAGAGGTTTAGCCCATTGCTCTTGGCATTTCTAAAGCATTTGATAAAGTTTTTCATGCTGGTCTTCTCCATTAGCTATCAACTTACAGTGTATCTGGAAACATATTTAAGATTATTGAATCCTCCTTTACCAATCATAAAGGTTGTCCTTGATGGATAGCACTCTTCTTCATATCTTGTAACTTTAGGGGTTCTTCAAGGTTCAATCCTAGACCCCATACTCTTTTTAATTTACATTAACCATCTTTTAAATATTCTCACATCGAAGTTGGCAATGTTGGCTGATGATAATAACATTTTTTCTTATCATGATAAGAAGCCAACACTTGGAGAGGACATTTGAGCTCACTTATATTACAGCATGAGGCTAACAGTGGCTGGTAAACTTTTACTCAGATAAACCTTTTTAGGCAAATAATTTATGAACAGTAATCCGGCCTTGCATAGAATAATGCTGCCATATCTGGGGCAGATCTTCTAATTATGCCCTATCTCTTTTAGACAAAGTGCCAAAACGTATTATAAACATAGTTTTAAATATATATATATATATATATATATATATATATATATATATATATATATATATATATATATATATATATATATATATATATATATATATGTTTAAAACTATATAACTTTTACTCAGATAAACCTCAATTTTTTAGGCAAATAATTAATGCAATAATCTAGATCTTCCTAAATTTATGCACAGTAATACGGCCATGGAATACTGTTGCCATATCTGGGGCAGATTGTCTAATGATGCCCTTTCTCTTTAAGACAAAGTGCCAAAACATATTGTAAACATAGTTGGACTTGCTCTTGCAGCCAACCTTCAACCATTTTCACATTATCGTAATGCTGCTTTTTTTATTTTAGTAGACAGCAAAGAGCTAGCGTCTCTTGTGTTGTCTACTAAATTTGATCTCGCACTAGATATCATTCAATTAAGTCTCATCCTTTTTCTGTGACTGTTGCTAAGTGCTCTAAAAACTTTTATTTCTCTAGTTTTTTTCTCGAACATCAGTGCTTTGGAATTCGCTTCCTTCATCTTGCTTTCCTGATTAATATAATTTGCTGTCTTTTAAGTTTCTGTCAATCGTTATCTTGCTTTTTTTACTTTTGCAATATTTCAAGTCCCCAATTCTTTTTCTAACCAGATTCTGTAATGCAACTCAAATGTTTGCCTGTTTACTTTATTTCATTTTATTTTAGAAATGTATATATATATATATATATATATATATATATATATATATATATATATATATATATATATATATATAAATATATATATATTTATTTATATATATTTATTTATATATATATATTTATATATATATATATATATATATATATATATATATATATATATATATATATATATATATATATATATATATATATATATATATATATATATATATATATATATATATATATATATACATATATATATATATATATATATATATATATATATATATATATATATATATATATATATATATATATATATATATATATATATATATATATATATATATATATATATATATATATATATATATATATATATATATATATATATATATATATATATATATCAAGTATATAGATCAATTATATATATATCAAGTATAGAGTTAAATTCTAAAGGTAGAAAATATGTTTTATATAACTTTTTACCTAAATTACATTTAGAAAAAAAATTTCTGAATTGACCCCAATGGGCACCTAAAAATATGAATATTTTGCTAAAAGGAATTTTATGATTTTGGTGACATATCAGTTTTAAATCTACTCATATTAAAAAATAAAACAATGTATGACTATGTCTGGGCTCAAATTACAAAATTAAAAAGTGGTTAAGGGCATGTGTGAACATATTATGTTTTTTGTGAATATTTAAAAGCCAGTTTAAATATTCTTGATTTTTTGCTGTTATGCAAATATAATAACCACCTATAATCAAGTATTAAGTAATTATTAGTAAATAATCACTAATTATATGAGAGCTTATGAATTAAAATTGTCTTCAATGTGACAAAAGTCCACAAGGTATTTAAAACAGATTTAAATCTTTCAATAAATGCAACTTTAACTTAACAGTAAAAATAAATTTATATTACTCAAGTAACTTGAACATATTTAAACTACTCACCAATGCAACCATTATTATGTTGATTCAAAATCCATCCTTTTGAACATCCTTTGAGATCTTAAAAAATAATTTGATAGTAGTTAACACTGACCAATTATGAATACAGTATTATGAATTAAAAAGCAAAGTTATAAACTCAGTAAAAATGAGGTAAAAGTTAAAAAAATTGGTAACTATTTAATCAAAAAAAATCAATTAATCCTATTTTATAAAGTTTTTATTTTTATAAAGCTTTTATTTTTATATAATAGAAATTATTTTTATAAAATATAAATTTTATTAAATGGCAATTCAATAAGCAATCATAATGCTGTGATAAGTAATATCATGTTTTGCGTGAATTATGGTCATTATGTTGCATAATGCCACCTGCATAAGTAAGGTCAATATTTGTATTACCTAGCACATATTAAGGAAAAAGTATGTAAATTTTTTATGAAAACTCTAATGGTCATTAGAATTAATTTTATTTTAGTAAAAAGTGTTTTTCTGAAAGTTAAAATATATTTTAAATTTAAGGAGCAAAAAACACTTAAAAAAAAAAAGTTTTGCACTGAAAAAATGTTAATAAGAATTATTCCTAATTTTAAAACATTATGAAGTCCTTACTAAAAGAAATTTTATTTTTGTAGCTTTTATAATTAATTTCTATATTTTATATGTAATGTGTGATGACTGTAATGTGTGATGACTGTAATGTATGATGACTAGTGCTTCCTATACCGATACCATTTTTCAATACCGGTATATCGGTACTAAATAATTACAATACCGGTAATACCGGTATAATAGCGGTATTAAACTTTATTTTTAAATTTATCATAATCTAAATAAAATCTCAAGTTAATAGTAAAAATTTTATTGATTCAATCAGCTTATTTATTTTTTATCAAAACTACTGACTTTTTCATTTTTTGCTTTTTTCTGCTTTGTAAAATGAGCCCGTAAAAAACATAGGGCGTTCAGAACATCATCTTCAAAAGATCATCTAATTTTGTTGGCTTCACAGTTTTCAAGAAATGGTAGGAATTTTGAAAATATATACAACGATTTCCTCCTTCTTCAAAAATTCCTATTTCAATACATACAATTTTTGATGAATTATTCGAAACATTCAATTTTCCCTTGTTGTTACATTTCTTATTTTTCAAAATTGCAAAGTCAAGCTTTTTTTTCAATTACAAGTTTACAGCGTTGTCCCCAGAATCACTATCGGAAAAAACGCTGGTGAAAGGGAGAGGACTATACCCTTTCTGATTGAGCGGATCTTTCAGTCGAGTAATGGGATTTACAATGGCTAATTTGCTATGGTGTTCAAAAGATAGAGCTAGATTCAATTTCTTGTAACGTTGATGTCCCTTGTGCAAAAAATGTTGTATGCTGGAAAAAGAGTACGTTGCTCATTGAATTGTTGCACCAACATAACTTTACAGCTAAATCGATTTCTCAAAGGTTATCTATCATGAAAATGTTGTATCGGCACACAACAGAGTTGCATGATTTTGACACAATGTTTCCACACCCAGTTTTACTGGCGCAAGACATAAGTTAACAGCTAATATTGCATCGGACTCATTATTAGTTACCTCATTTTGGACTCAAGGGCAAAAAGTGACTCGTGAATGCATTTTTTTAATTACACAAAACGTTCGAGTACTGTGTGCAAGCTAACCCAGCTAGTTTTGGATCCAAGTATTAGTGGAATATCTTTATCAAATTTTTCTAACGTGCGTTTTTGAATTTTGATCATTTTTTGTCGGAGAACGGCGAAATAAAAATTTCACAACGGTGCGCACCTTTTTGATTAACGTCTGCAAATCATCAGTCAGTTCAATAGAGTCATTCTCTTCACTCATTACAACTTGAAACCCGCCGGAAAAGTCTTCATCATTATTTGTTATGTTTGTGTCATCAGTATTTCCTCGTCACTTTCTCTGTTATTGCATATTACTTTCAAGTTTTTTTTGCAGAAATTGACGATATTTTTGTACAAAATATCTTGAATACCTAGTTGAATCCCATGCCTAATGCACAACTGTTGATCACAGTTACTTAAACGCCCCACTTTTTACATTACCGAAACTTTTCATATTTACGTTAGTGCAAAATTCAAACATGCGTTCTACATTAAAGCGAGCGACGTAATGATAATATTTTAAATTGGTGCTTCATTATTTAATGAAAACACGAAGCTCATTTCCTACCAAACTTAGTAGGAAATGAGCTATCAACTAGATATTAAGTATAAAGTACGTAGAATACTTGTTTTAGACAATTTAAACACGTCTTTTCTCATCTAGCTATCTTTTTCATACCGGAAGCGTTGTTGAAAGTTTTAAGTATTTCATTTACTTTAGTGTTTCACGTAAAGAGGGCGATAGCACCTACTATATCATAAGCCCTCTACTTATATTTTTAATACCGGTATTGAGCCAAATCAATACCGGTATTTCGGTATTTAAAAATGTCCGGTAATACCGGTATTGGAAGCACTAGTGATGACTGTAATGTGTGATGACTGTAATGTGTGATGATTGTCAGAACTACTCTGATCTTTTTATGACACATTCGGTAATTTTTTTCTTTTTAATTAATGTATTTTTTTTTAATTTGTACCACTATTGTGTCTCTTTAACAACATAGGGAACTTGTTAAACTGTATTTTGTAAGTTTGTGTGAGTTAATTTCTCTATAAAATTCTGTTGAAATTTTTACTCTTAGTAATGATTGATAACAGAATCTTAAAAACATCAAAGGTTGTTCAAATTTCAATCAAGGTCTTCTAAAATAGAAACAAGCAGCAACAAAAATAAAAATAAAAATACAATTTTCTTGAAATTTCAAGTTTTTACTATTCATTATAAACCTCTCCACCCAGATTATTTTTCATAACTGATCTCTCATGGAAATTAAATATCAAATCCATTTCAAATCTTGCAGGTTTGCTTTTTTTAAATGGGCTTTCCACTTTTTTACTGCTGATTATTTAACTGTAAAAACATTTTAATGCTTAAACGGCTTTTATTTCTCTGATTAGTTTTCAATCAAAGAAATTCTCTCCAATCTTAAGAATTGCAAAACTCTATAACCTATACAATTTACAGTATTCATGTATTCTTTAACTCATACGATTTACAGCATTCAAATCTCCTGTAACATATAAAATTTACAGAATTTAAACATTCTGTAATATTCATACAATTTTCAGTATATAAGTATTTTGTAAATCATACAATATACAGCATTTAAATCTAGTGTAAATTATTTTCTTTATCATCAATCTCTTATTATTTTTTTTATAATTCTAAACTTATTTAGTGATTACCTTCATTGTTGTTAGAACTTTATTTAATAAATAAAGAAGATATATTAAATTTTGTGTCATATATATGTATATATCAGTTATTTATATAATATAATAAATAAATACTTCTTTTATTATAACTAATTATAATATAAATTTAAATAATTATAATTTCAACCATTAATTGATACATTGCATGAGATCCAATAAAATGATTGCATGTCACTGGGTAAATTAGCAAATGAAACCAAACCCTAAATATAAATAGTATTTACATGAGCATATATGATTAGATGCATAATAACCTAAAAAATAAATTTTATCTAAAAATGTGTCAAATAAGAAAGATTATACAATAATATGGAACAGTAAGGAAATGAATAAAATAAAATAAGACAATAAAAAATAATGCGAAATAACATTAGACAATAAAAAATAATTTACAATAATATGGAAAAAGGATGGGACAGGAATTATTTGACATGTTTTCATATAATGTAATAGGGTAAAATAATGATATTTAGAGAATACTTCATACTTGTTCAAACACCATCACCATACGTACAATAATTAACATAAAATAACTTACAATAATTAATATAAAATAATTTACTTAAATTAAAATAAAATAACTTACTTAAATTAACATAACATACATATTAACATAGCTTACCAAATTAACATAAATTAACATAGCTTACCAAATTAACATAAAATAACTAATAATAAGTAATATAAAATAACTTACTTGAATTAACATAAAATAACTTACTTGAATTGCAAATGAATCATTATATCGATCATTGCTTAAAAACACCTTTAAAAAAAGTTTTTTTAACTAAAAATGTAAAAAAAGTTATAAACTATATATATTACATATTCATAATTCAATAAATATTAAATACTTATAAATAAGTTAAAATAGTACTTTATGCAACAGCCTTTTATTTCAGCGTTCAGGGTTAAAAAAAAACTATGTTTTTTTATGACATGTTAACAATCCCACAATCACACTGAAAATTTTTCTTTAATTTATCTTTTTTTGATCCTCATAAACAAAAATTGTGACTATAACTAATGACTTTATTTATGGCAACATAAATGTTTATTTTCAATGTTTTCTTTTTCTGTTGAACTTAGCTTCATCATTGTTGTTATGAACTCTATATTTTAACAACATCAGATGACATTCTTAAAAAAAAAATGATACAGCTTTCCTCCATGGCCTTTCCTTAGTAGCAAACAACATTGGTGCAATATTGGCACACTATTTATCTCAA